ACTCTAGTATATTCTCAGTTAATAAAGACATAAGACTTGGCTACACGCCAACTAGACTGCGGACTCACTTTCAAATTTCTTTCCCTTTACCTTCCTCCAGCGCCATCCACTAGATCGTCAAAAAGACGAGACCAATCGTGGGATCTGAGCGCAGACGTTATGTTAAGCATAAAACCGGAGAAAATGCCTTGAATCTTACGAATAACAATCGAAAGATTAGAAATGAAATTAAGCGGATGAAGTAAGCGATCTGACTTCCATTGTTTCTTAGCATTTCAACAATATTCGCTAGAAATTACTTTCCATATTTTTTTTTTTTTTTTTCTTTGAATCAAGTGATTATAGCTTATATATATATAAATAACTAGCATCTCGTGAGTGGTGTGAACAAACGATAATTGTAATACTACACAGCTTTAATACAACGGTGCGCTAAGCTCAGGTAATTGCTTTTGTCATTTAATAATTTGAACATATTTGCTTTATTCGCTTAACCCTTAAGTTAACTTTGGTGTTGATTAGTAGACTTGTTTACCGATGCACTTAAAACAATCAATTACGTGCACGCATTTCGTACATAATAAATATTAACAACAACTAATAAGAAATAGTAGATTTAGATAATATTAGGCTTAAGTCAAATCTTTTACACCGAACATCTTTATTAAAAAAAAAAAAGAAAAAAAAATTAAATTTCAATATTCTATAATATTGGATGTACGTAACCTCTTCACCTTTTGTACAGTTACCGCGGGATCGTTAATATAATATATTTGGAAATTATCATTACACCCTACACTACTTGTCGAACCGGGTAAATTAAGTTAGTGTGGACGTATGTAGCACGCAGAAAAGCTTACGATGGACCCACCTTTCGTTTTATCTGAATTGATCTAAGCCTGTCTGTCCCTCTCTACGTCTGCTAACTGTCCACATAACTTTGCGTTCAAGCTACAGGCCGTAATTTTTGAGATATTTTGTTGAAATTTCGTACAGTGTCGTGTTTTGACCCAAGAGCGAACATCCCTCTCATGTAAGAAAAACTAAAGTTCATACGACAAAAAGGTATAGTTTTCAATGCTTCATGATGAAAATTATATCATAATAGGAATTTAATATAAAAAATTTAATTGTGCCAATTTGGACCATGTCGGTCTATTTTTTAGATCCTACCCTAATCATTTCACGAAAATTGATCCTTTGTAGAGCAGCAAAGTATATGTTTTAGATTAAGGATCATGGAATTTAGCGAACTAAAATCAACATTTGGCAGCAGTCATTATTTAAAAAAAAAAAAAAAACTCCACAAGGTATATAAAAATTCCAGAGGTGATTATAGCAAAAGTAAAAAACGAAGATATGGATAATGGCAGAAATAATTTTTTGATCGGATGCAATAACAAGCAGACCTTAACGAAACGAGGATCAATTAGCATTTACGAAGGAAGCTCATCGAGAAATAATCCCTTTCTATATATTGAGAGAAATGGTCATTGTGGGAAGATTGTTGAAAAAGTTGAAAGGATTTTATCACCGACTTTACTTTTCAGTTGACCGTGATGGATTTAATTTCATTTAATTTTATAAATATAAAATTCAGCTACGGCGAAGATTCAGCGGAATTGCTTAATTCATACATTTGAAAACTTAACCTAATTACAATTTAATTAAAACACGTCGTAAAAAAATAGACAATTAATAAAAAAATGTAAGAAAATAAACACTGCCTACCAATTAGTCACCAAATTCCGTATCAAGATTCCGAATAATAGACTTTAGCTCTTAGTTTAGGTAAGACGCCGACAGCGTACGGGTATTAAGAATAGCGTTAATGGATGCAAGCGAATCGGCTAAGGAAATAAGGTTATAAAGCTCATTTAGCCTGCTAAAGGTAAACATAAGTGGATTAAAGGGCTCATAATTTAACCTGTATTGGCTAAGTTTAACAAAAAGAAAGTTCTCCATCGGACAGAAACGTTAAAATTAAACGCACTCAACAAAAACGGCGACTCACTGGCACCATTAATCAGCTTCACCATGAAAGTAATGCCCAAAATCGTCCTACATTTCTCAAGTGATGGCAAAGATATAAGTAGCAATCTATTTTCATAAGGAGAGAGGGGGGCACTTGGATCTTCGCACAAATTTTTTAGAGCAAACAACAAAAACTGATCCAGAAGTTCATCAATGAAATCTATAGTGGCAGACTCATTGAGGCCATCATATACCGTAGATATTTCGACGGCATTGCCAACATCTGCAAAAAGCATCTGTCTGCTAAATATTAGTTCGTGTGGTATAGAATATTGAAAGTAAAATGTATTGTGTGAACAAGAGGAAGAATTGAATTTTCACAATATTTGACGTCCCGAAATAGTGTGAGCAAGAGGAAGAATTGTAAAAAATGGAATTCAACTGTCAAGTAAGAAAACAATTATGCGATATACAACGTTTTAGGAAGCCTTGTTTAATAATAGACGAATCTAATACACTTCCTGTTGAAAAAAAAGTAATTAATTTCTACCATTTTAGGGTTTTATGATCATGAGTTCTTAAAATTTTTAAAATATTCCTAAAAAACTGGAGATACACATAATATCTTTATGTTTTTTTTCCGTTAGTCGGTCGTCTAGTGGTGTATAATGAAAGTAATTTAATATTTCCGTACATTTTTGGTCTTCCTCTAAATAGATAAAAGATCCAAAATCAAATCAAAATAGAATCATCGTAAATATGTTTTATAGATTAACGCGTAACGTTCCGTTTTCAAAAATTGCAGCCAACTCTTCTAGTTAACTCTTCTAGTAATTTCTTCAAACTAAAATAGGGCTGCGACATTCGAATTTACCGAATACGTATTTATTCTTGTATACTTTTCTATCGATTCATAATAATGGTTAGAGTAGTAAAAGTGATTTTTGCTCTTCATACCCACCGCCGTAAGATGGGGGTATACTCATTTTGTTTTTTTTCATAATATATCTAAACGCTTAAAAGGAAGCTTCAGAGTCTGTATAGAATATATGTATCCGTGATTAGCGTGAAATTCTGAGTTGATTTAGCCATGTCTGTCCGTCAGAGGGTCGGTATGGGTAAGTGTTGTTGTCACTCCCCCGGTCGCAAAAATAAAGATATCGACTAAAAATTTGGTACAAACTTTGCAAGTTTCTGCAGGCAGATGGTATTGAAAATGGGCCCATTTAGTCAAAACAAAAGCGCGCAATGGAGCGTAAGTTGAACGCAAGTCAGTTTTTTTTAACATTTTTGGATTTTTGCTCGTTGCTCGGAAATTATAAAAGTTAGAAAGTTGAAATTGTCCACATTTACTTTACGAAACAGTCTACTTTTTAGGTCCGAAAATGGAACCAATTGGTAAAGTTACGAGTAACTACATTTTATTTTTTTCAAAATTTTGAGGTTTACTTCTTCTTTACTGCTCATAAGGCAAACAAGACCGAATGTTTAAAACTCTTTTGTAAACACCTCCATCCAGCTTTCCTTCTACTAGAATAGAATCGAAACAAATTCGAAATATCAATCCCTATGAATGCGTCTTTATTTTTATCTAGTTCTAGGTAAAAAGACAAGTACAAGTCTACGCCGCTTCAATGCCGACGTTATTTTCTCATTGCCTCCTTGTCCTAAGGTAATTATAATATTACATAGGTATATCTATAAATAAATAATCTCTCGTCTTTTATTTTAGAATAAAAACCAATGAGCTTTCGCCATTTTAAAGACCACATAACACCGACGCTTTTATAAATGGAATGGACGTTAGAAACGTTTCTCTAAAGTAAATTAAAAGCCAAAAATTTCCAGCACCAAGAGATTTTTAATTCTCGTATTTAATTTTGAGCCGCTGTGGAATTAAGACCGAAATCTGACAACCCTAGTAAGCGATCTATTTATGTTATAAAGGAGTTGACTCCTGGTGGAATTGCGGTTTATTAATAAAATTTCGCTATTAAAGGTTCAATTTAAATCAAAAAATTTCAATTAAATGGAACCATGGATACCGAAGATGATGATGAGATAATAATGGATGACATTGAAGCGAATGAGTTATATCAGCAGCAAGACTACGAGTTTACGCGTTTATCAGACATGGTAAACTCTTTGCTAGCACATTTTTTAAATAAAAAAAAATTAAATTTAATAAATAAATGCAATCAGGTTAGAAAACATTACCTTCCGTATTTGGAAAAACAATTAAATGAGAACTTTACAAACTGGCAAAAACGACAAGTGCATGATTTGCTGCATGATGATTAAAATATATGAAAAATATATGGTGAAAATTGTAAGGTCGTGAAAAACTACTTGTGTATGACTTCCATCTAAAAGTACGCTATTGATTTAATTAATTTCTTTAGCATTGCGTAATGAAACCACACCAATATTCAGGAATATGGAAATACATTTAGTTGTTAAGAATTTAGTATTTCTGTTACCGACAAAATTTAAAAATTTTTATTTTGTTTTTTAATCTCCACTTTTCGATATATACGCAGTATTAACTAAATTCTAAATACTCTTTTTTTCTTTTTTTTTGTTTTTTTTTTTGTCTCAAATAACGTATATAATGCATTTTGAATACTAAAAAGTAAAAATAAAATTCAAAAAGAAATTTTCTTTTAAATACAATTTTTTTTTTTTTTTTTTGTTTTGTTTTTGTGTTTGTTTTTTTCTTTTTCTTAAATAAATATTTAAAAACAAAAAGCGCGAGTCACATGAAAAAATATTTGATTTCTTTTAGGATTTATTTGTTTGAACAGGAATTTCGTTATATTTTTTAAATATATATTTCATTAACCGTCAGCAACAATAGCTATTTATTAAAAAGGAATTATGAGGGACGTTCGTTTATATTTTTATTCTTTCTTTTTAAAATTAAAAGAGATATATATATAATGCTCGTTTCTCTTTTAAACAGAAAATCGAGATGATTTTTGAATCGATAATCAGCAATATTAAATACATTTGAAAATAATGCTAAATATCGTAAGCGATGCAAGACTTTGTTATTTTCTTGTTAAAAAATATTAAATAAAAAAAAAGAAAAGAAAAAAAACAAAAAAACAATTTAATATAATAAAGTTCTAAATGAGTTAGTTATCAGTAAACTTAACTTAAAAAAGAAAAATTCGGAGAACTTATATTTTATATTATGTTAAGAAAGAAAAAGAGTAAAAAGGAAGAATGGAAGAGATATTTAATGTGTTGTCAGAAAACGATGATATAATAAAAAAAAAAAAAATTATAAAAAATTAAAAATTAAAAAAAAAAAATACGTTTTATAGGTAATAATAAAGACAATGGAAAAGGAGCTGATGCACGGAGTTTTTAATTTTTTCCGTTTGTAAATTAAAAACACTTTAAACGTGAATAATTATTGCGGCCACCACTACCGCCCCCGTAGCCTCCATCGTTATACATATCGTCACCCTTGACTTTGCCATCGAAAAACAATTCAATATAACGTGAACCCATTTGTTCGCGATGACGTTTCATAGCCTTCTGAGCATCGTCATATGTATCAAAGTAAACATCAGCTGTACCGCTATGACGATTCTTTTCGTTGTAATTAATACGCACATTAGCCGGACGTATTGGATCAAAGAACTGTAATAACGACAATTGCATGGAATATTATTTATTGTGTATAAAGCAGTAAATCGAAAAAGAAAAATTCGATTATAACAAATAATATGCTTACCTTGAAAACATCATTTTCGAATGAGGTGTAGGGCAAACCTCGCATATGTATTGCAAAATATTCAACGTCGTCGTTCATTCGGCCACCGCCAATTGGCCCGAAATTATTACCGCCACCGAAACCACCGCCCATGGCACCGCTATTGTTGCCAAAGTTACCGAAGTTGCCAAAATTCCCGAAATTTCCGGTATTATTATTGCGATTATTGCCAAAATTACCAAAGTCGCCAAAATCGTTACCAAAATTACCGTTATTACCGCCAAAACGACTATTAAAACCGCCATTGCCGCTACCGCTACCGCTACCGCTGTTAGCAGAATTACCAAAATTTCCACTGGTGCTACTGTTACCGAAATTGGCAGCATTGCCAAAATTACCGAAATTTCCGCTATTACCAAAATTACTGCTACTGCCGAAATTTCCAAAGTTACTAGAATTTCCGAAATTACCGCTATTACCGAACGGTAAATTATTAAAACCCAAAGTGTTATTCGCGCCCACTCCAAAACCACCATTATTGCTCCAACCTGGAAGCAAAGCAAAGTGCAGGCAAATGACAACATATCTCTAGAATCATATGTCAATTTGAAAAAAAAGCTAACTTATGTTAACACATGGATATCGCCAGAGATCATCAAATACAAGCATCGCTTAGCCATAACTTAAAAAAAGATAACTATCTCGTTTGTTAAATATAATATTTATTCGAGTTTAACGCGATACCACAACAACTCCGAATAATGAGGGAGTTAAAATTTTTCGCAATGCCCAGAAGAAAGCTGCAGCGACCTCACGAAGTATATATAGTCACATTCATGATCACCATTAAATGCTGAATTGAGTTAAAAGCACGTCCGCCAGTCCCTCTGGCTGTCTGTCCATCGGTGTCATGTCAATTGTAAACATTCTCGTGGACACAAAAATGAAACTATAGCCAGAAATATTGGAAATTTTTGCACGCTGCTTGGTATGGAAAATGTGCTAAATCGGTCGAAGGACACGCCTATAGTACCTCTGCAAGGTGAGTGCACTTCTCTTTATCAAAGGGATTAAAAATTGGTTTTTTGCTCATTGCATATAAACCGTAGCAGATAAATGTACAAAATTTTGAACGCACATTCTATGGGCGACGCTGTAGTATCTGTACGAAACTGTCAAAAATCGACCGCTCCTGCCCAAAGTTATAGTGTATCAATATTTAATTTTTGCTTTCAATACCTTTGCATGGCGCAGAAAAAGAGGCCTCAAAACAGTTTCGAATTCGGAATGCACGTAAGCATGGACGTCAGTTCGTCAACCTATCTGTCCGTCTGTGCAGCTATACAGTAGTTGTGGTAAAGCTTCTCCTATTCGCAAAAATAAGTATATCGCCTAAAAACTAACGAAAGACTTTGAAAATGGCCCAAGCTTTTCAAAGCCAAAGGGCCTACAACGCCCTATAACGGCTATGTAAGAAAAACTGTGATCCCCTTTGCTTTTCCTTGTTATTAATAAACTATAACATATACGACATATAAATTTCCGCTTTTATTCTGAAAATCGAGAAAAGCCCCGCTCATCCAATATTCTAGATATGAACATTGAGTTCTTTCCTTTTGTTGAGGATCGTGGGGATGGTAATGTCTACAAGTGGTTCCGTCATGATCGAATATAATTTTTTTACTTATTTCTTCTTAATCTAAAACTCTTATGGTGGAAAGGTAAGTCTGTGAGGATGTATGTAACATTGAAACAAAGTCACCGTCTCTTACTATACCAATCGATTTAAAATCATTTTCTAAATCGATCTAAGTTTGTCTGGCTGTGTGTCCTCTGTGTGTGTTCAACCTACAGGCCGCAATTTCTGAGATATTTTGTTGAAATGTGGTACACTGACGCATTTTCGCCAAAGGACGAATACTATTGAAAATGGTTCGGATTGGTACACATTATCAACCACTTTCCATATAACGCCGTATTTTGAATAGTCATTATATGAATATAGCTGTAGGGTTTTGTACAGTATTTAATGATGGACCGTTGCTCAGTGTTGAATATAAAAGCAAGTAAACAAGTAAAAACATATAGTCAGACAAGGCCGACCATTAAACACCCTATACCACATTGTACAACACAATCCTTATTATAAGATGGGGATATACTCATTTTATTTCCTTTGTTTTCCAAAATATACGTAACATCCAAAAGGAAGCTTCAGAGGCCCTATAAAGTATATATATTCTTGATCAGCATGAAATTCTGATTTGATTTAGCCATGTCCGCCCGTATGTGTAGTCTGTGCTGTTGGTACTCTCCTGGTCGCAAAAATTAAGTATTGACTACAAATTTGGTAGAAACATTGGAAATTTCTGCACGCAGGTTGATATTAAAAATGGGCCAATTTTGTCGGAACTAAAGCGTAAGTTGAATGGAACTCAGTTTTTTTGAACAAAAATTTTTGAATTTTTGCTCGTTACTAGGAAATTATAAAACTGAACTGAGCTGAAACTTTCCACATTTACTTTACGAAACAGTCTACTCTGTAAGTCCAAAAATGGAATCAATCGGCCTTGCACAAATAAAATTACGAGTTACTAAATTTTATTTTTTTCAATTTTTTTAAGTTTTATGGTTACTTAGCACAAGGCACACAGGATCGAATGTTTAAAACTATATTGTACGCTCCTCAAATGGCGAAATATTATCTGCCTAAAAATTGGGTTAATATTGAAATAACTATGGTAAACATCGCAATTCATTTTTTTTTAGTAATACCAGAGATATCGGTATCAAATAAAAGAACTTGGAGAGTAAAATGCGTAAAAAGCATAGGTGGGTATGCGAGATTCGACCCCCGCCGAATATAACTTTACTTGTTTTTATTATAGAACACAAAAATTATCTCTTGTTTATACATATATATAAAATAGATCGAGATGGTCCAAATTTGGCATAGTTCATTTTTTTATGTTAAATTATTATTATGATATAATTTTCATCGTGAAGCACTGAAAATTATACCTTTTTGTCGTATGAACTTTATGAGATGGGGTTCAAATTTTCCCAAGTGCAAAGCTTTCATACCAATTTAGAATGCCGAAACAGACATCAGACGGTCAAACAAACAGACAAACAGGCTTAGATCAGTGCAAATAATGATTCCAAATCGATCAATATAATGAAAGGTGGATCCATCATAAGCCTTTCTGCGTGTTACATATGACCGCACTAAGTTATTATACCCTGTAGGGTATAACAATATTTCTCCGTTTGCTTTCAACTAAAAAAATGCTTCAATTGTAAGATCCAGTCTTATAATATCTAAATTTGGCACTTAGCTACCATATTACTAAACTGGTCCAATATTGACGCTGGTTATGCATTTCCTCGATCTTTGTTAATTTATTGCAAAATACCACGTCTTCCTAAAGTAAGACTGAGTACAATCAATTATGCTAAACTAGAATTCGGTAAACTTTAATTATCATTGCGCCTATTCAAAATCATGTCATAACTTACGGTCCACCGTTTAATAACTTGTTTTGTCAAATTTATGCGGATATATGCAACACTCAGATAGAACCGCCTTCCGTTATATCGATCGACTCAGAAGCATTTTTTGCATCTTTGCATTCATAATTTTTATGTTTTTTATAAGTGTTCGTCGCGAACTTTTTTGTTTACACTTTTGTTGCAATCTAAGAAAAATCTTAATTTTAACCAACTTGAGAACTCAACCAACGGACATATTTACGAATGTCGTAAAATTAAACATAAAAATAAATTTTAGAATTTTGTTATTTTCGGAGGTTTAGGGAAGGTTTTCAAAATTACAAAATTGAAGAGAGTAATATGTCACTTACGTCCACCTGGACCTGCTCCGCGACTGTTGCTAAAGTCACTGCCAACGCTGCTGGCGCGATTACTGCCACGCTCTCTGAGATCATAAGGCGCTACACGTCCAAAATTGCCATTACCCGTGGATCGTTTCATTTCAGCCAAAGAACTCCGGAATATCTCAATATACCTGAATGGAAATACAAACCAAAGATAACTCGATTAGAAGTGTAAACATAAGAGCCAAATGTATGGGTAATTTAAAAAACACACTCCTTTGCAAAGTCTAAACGATGGTTAGATCATAATAATGAACCAAAGGAAAATATATAAAATAAAATATACAGAACGCAACAAAAGCCTGTGGGAAAAGAATCTCTAATTATTTATAAGAGTATAAATACTTTTTCCTGTTTAAATTAAATTTAGTTAGTATTCTGTTGTAGAGATGAATATTTTTTTCTTAATTTCTATAAAAAAAAAAAACAAACAATTTAGATATAATTTAATACTAGTTTTTTCATTCATATTTTTTTGGTATGTAAAATTATGTGTTTTGAGAGAGACCCACCTGTGCCCAATTTTTTCCCGATTACGTCCCAAGGCTTGTTCAGTATCTTCCTGGCTGACGAACTGAACAAAAGCTTCCCCAGTGGCACGACCCCTTCTGTCCATAACAAATGTAATCCCCTCCCGATCCGGTTTGATTTCCAACCCTGCCCAACAACACAACAACAACAATAATAATGATCACAAAATCACTTTATAACTACACAGCAGAAGTGCAATAAAATTTTTTCTTAAGCCACTTTTTTGTACAATTTTCCACCTAAAAAGTACTAATAATTGTTTTAACAACCCAGTTAAGGTTCATGATTTTATTCGCAAGAGATTTCAAAACGCCAACTTCTTCAATCCCCTGCCCAATAGAGAAGGGGTGTCAATGAGCTAGAAAATACTTTGCCTATGCACAAAGAGATCTTCTAGTAATACCTGCCTTTTTGTATTTACGTTACTTTGATGAGGTCTTATTACTAAATATTTACCATTAAAGAATTCCTCAATTTGCTGCTCGCTCACTGAATATGGTAAACCGCGTAATTTTACAACATATGACATGCCGGAACTACTTGTCTTACGCATTGCGCCTCTGGCTTCTTTAGGTTGCGCCGTAAATACTAGACACGGAATTTTCAAAAATGAAAAATTATTTTTTGCACATTTTTTTTTTTTTGAAAAAACGAGGGAACTAACCTTCGATATAACGGTGACCCATATTACAATTATCCAATTTTAAAGCCGATTGAACATCTTGATCACTTTCAACTTCCACATATGCTTCACCGGTATTTTTGCCATCCCAACGACTTGTTACCAAATGAATACCGTTAGCACCGTCGACCACACTAACATTTTTCAGGAAATCTAAAATTTCTTTATTAGTAGCCGACCAGGGAAGACCACGCAAACGAATATATTTAGGACCATCAGTTCGTCCATTGTTTTGATTATCATTGTCGTCGTCGTCGTCGTCATCATCATCATCTTCATTGTCATCGTCATCCCCATGGTCGCCATCATCGCCATTGTTGCCATCATTTTGGGAATCGCCACAATCATCTTGTGAATCATCGTAATCTCCACCCTGTTGATCTTGATAATCATTATCTTCATCATATTGATCTTGACTGTCGTTATCGTTTTGATGGCGAGCGTCATTATTACCCGACTGTTGCTGATTATTAGATCCCGAATAATAGTTAGACGACATTATGGATAATGGTACTACAAATTAAAAAAAAATTCATTTTCTTCACTTAAATATTGCATTGCAAATATATTTGATTCTTAAGCTCAAATTTAACCTGTGATCACTAACGTTCAAGGCAGGCTGAAGTAAACCGGATAAATTTGAAATATTCAAGAAGGAAAAAAAAAATGTTACTGGCTACTATGAAAAAACTTTAGGGATCATCTTTGAGCCATTGGCCAAATTTTAAGACTAACAGCAAATAGACACAACGGCTTTCCATATTACGTAGACGAAAAATTATCAAATGACTTAAAAGTATAAAATATTGCTGGGCCATAACCCACACTGCATACAATATAAAGTACATATGCACAGTTCAATATTCTCCAGTTGAATTTAATCCTTATGTTTTATTTACACATATATCAAACTAACTAGTTTTTAACGGTATGAACGAAAGTGACCTAAAAGTGTAAACTATCAGTACTAGATTTCGCTGGGCCATGAGACACGCTCCTTACAATATGCAGTACACATGTATAATTTAAAATTCTCCAATTGGATTTAATCATATTCTATTATTTACTCGCCTATCAAACTAACGAGTTTTTAAGGATGCGAATGGAAGTAGATGCGCCCTCTAATTTATCAACCCGCCCCCACTTATTTATCTGTTTATACCTTTGGAAGAGATCTTAAAAATTTTTACTTGGGATCTATTCTGCTCACAACTTCCTCAAATCTTTAATTTTAATTAGAAACAAAAAGACCGGTTAACCTTGATTTTAATAAAGCAACTAATGTCAGAGATCAAATTTAATACACAATCGTCGTTAAGGCTTCGAAGTAAAAGAAAGTCAGATAAACGTGCGGTAGCTCATGCCACATGCACACAAAGCGAACAAAAAACCTTAATTTAAAAAATAAATTTTTTTATAGGGAAAGCGTACGCCAAAAGGCCGCCATCTTGTCTTTTGTGTCCAATGAAACATTTCTTTAATCAAACATTTCGTTTATATGTTAAATATTCACAGATTAAAATTTTATAAACTGTTTCTACTTACTTTCTTGTATAGCCTTTGACAAAAAGATCTATTCAATGCACTCAGGACTCGAAGATATTAAACTTTTTTAGTTTTTTCTGCGTTCACGAACGAATTTATTACACATTAACAAAAAATGCTTGCCAGGTTAAAAATAATTGACAAAATGTATTTACAACAATGTTACCAGTAATTCCTTTTTCAAGAAAGCAGACGTACAAATACTGCAACAATGCTTAATTTGTAATTGACAAAAGCCCTGTGTTTGCTTATAATGTTTCCGCTACAGAAATGAAATCGGTGTTCAATTTTAGTAATTTTTGTTGTTTTTATCAATATGTACATAAGTCTTTTTTGCATTTAGTAGGTACCGTGCAAAAAAATCTTTAAAAAAATGATATGCTTTTTATGGGAATATGTTCAACAACTTTAAAAAATTGTGTAAGATGAACACACTTCAAATTATTTCCCAGAAAACTGTGCATAAAACGTACTAATAAAATTCCATATTACATAATAAGAAGAAAACAACTCATTTTTAAAAAAAAAAAAAATAAAATTATTGTACAGTGAAAATTAAAAAAAATGCTATCATAAGTCGATATTTCAGATGAGTAGCACAACTAGAATTGATTTTTAGTCGAGGCTCCGCAATAAACTCTATGCATATATATGCATAAATGCCTATATTTTTCTCAGCAAATTTACGAATATCTTCAACGTTTCGAAGTTCACGCCCCTGATTAGCTACATCTATGGTACGCTCGCGGGCTATTTCTGCATCAATAGTTGGTTTGCATGTCAGTTTATTTATCACAAAGAAAAGGTAGATTATATTTTTTGGGTTTTGATTACCACAAATAAATATAAATGAAAATTGCTTCTGTTTGCCTCTTTTTCATTTACGCGTGAATAATAGCAAAGAAAATCATACAAAAGTCTGTAGCAAAAAAAAAAAACACGTTTATCAACTATCGGCTACGTCGCGAACGAAAGCTAACATTTAAGTATAACGTAAATGAGGTGTTATTGTTTATAAATATACAGAATGCTAAAGCAATGTCATATGTATTTGTTGTTGCAATTTCTATTTTTTGTTTACATATTCCCTGCTCATGCCATATGTACGCTTTTGTATATCCTTCAATAATATCTTCAGATTTTGTTGCTGAGCCCTATAGTAGAGGCTCGCATTGTCTAAAGAATTAATTTTAAATATTTACGACGCGATAGTTTGCAGCACAGCATATAAACTTTACTTGATTAAAATTATAAATTCTTTTTTTACAATTTATAAACTTTGCGTTGAAAAGTTTTTTAAGAAATATAACGGAATGAAACAAAGTCGGAAAATGCAACCCCGCAAAAAAAAATTCATGCAAACTTAATATTTATTAAACTTTTATACAAATTTATAGATACTCTCCAGTGAAGTCTTCGACTTACAAGAAGAAGCATTTTATTCTTAGTCTTGGAACAATTCGCCAATTAACATTTCAATTAACCATATATTTAAAGTCGATTTTAAATAAATTGCCTTTAAAATAAAGCAATAAATATGTCAGAACATGATATTAACGGTACCGAAGATGAGATCCAGGATAAAAAACAGAAAAAGCAGACCAAGCACGACGGTGGAGCAGCCGATTTAGAACGTGTTACTGATTATGCCGAAGAAAAGGAAATATCCACTGCTGATATATCTAGTGTATGTCGATAACGACGAACATTTGTGTTTTCTACTAATATTATTGTCCCTAACAGGCGGTGGAGCAATTTGGTAATCAGCGCCAAAAAGAAGATGAGTTAAAAGTAGCCAAAGAAAAGGAACTACAGAAAGTCCAAGTGAAAAAAGAAGATATTGAACTTATTGTAAGAGACGTTTTTTATTTTAAGACGGGCATGTAATCATAGTTCATTCTTGTTATAGATGAATGAAATGTTGATAACGAAAATTCAAGCGGAGAAGGTATTGCGTGAACAGAGAGGTGATGTGGTGGCTGCTTTGGAAGCTATCATTGCTAGTTAAATTTATAGTGTAATAAATTTTAATTATTATTTTTCTTTTTTTAATTAAATAGACTTTCTTATCTTAAAACTTTCGCATTTTTATTTTCATAATTTATTCTCTCGACAGATATATATATATATATATTAATTTTGTTATTGTTTTAGATTAAATAGAATTCGAAATGCTTGCAATGTTTTGGTTGACGAAACAATTTTACTAAGAAAATATAATAGAGAAAATTTACATAAATAAGAGGCACAAAAATTAAAAACAAAAAGAAGAATAAAACGAGAAAATTATGTATCTAAATATTTTTGCAAATTGTCACAAGACGGCAAGTTAATATTCTGAGCCTTACGATACAATTCCCGATCGCCAAAAGTACGAGCTTTAGTCATCATTGAATCACCTTTAAATTAACGGAAATTTAATGCAAAATTCATTAGCAAAGAAAAAAATTTGTCTTTCATAACTTACGGTAAGTCCTTTCACGAGCACAAGAATGTTTCAAATGATTGATAAACTCTTCTTCGACCGATTCTTCTAAACGGCCAACTGAACCTTGATATTCTGCATAAAAGTTTTCCTTAACATAATATGGTATTTTAAGAGTATTTGTCTCACGTTTGGAAGAATATTTACTAAAAATATATAAAATTTTATTTTTTCGCAAGTGCAATGTAAAGGTTTTGTTTGACTTGTATCGAATCATTTTACGGGCGAAGATTTATAATAATTGTTATCGGAAATTGCATTGTCTATGAAGTGATTAACAATGTACTTTTGGGATATTATGGACGTACTTATAGACAGTTCTGCTGATATTCCCAGTATTTTTAGAAACAAAAAAGCGGGTAGTGTGATCTATAATAAGCGGACAACACATAGCTAAAATGTATTAACTCTAACAGAGATCAGAATAAAAAACGTGTGAGGAAAATTAAATATTTAATGTACCTTTGGAATTTTACAATGTCTTGAAAACAACTTACTGCGACTGTGTCAAACTGTAAATGGGATCCGATATAAATAACGAGGACATCATTGACAGACCAATAAGTAATAAAATAGGCAGTAAATTTATTAAAGCCGATGACGATGACTGATTCTATTACGTTAGAATAAATGCAAACAAAGAAATACATTAAAAAACTGTTCAGGAAAAATTAAATAATTTTTTACTTCTCTTTCCTCTCTCTGCTGACGTCTACGTTGTGATCTCATGTAAATGTTTTGCTGAGGAAAACCGCCGCCGAAAAACATGTTGAATAACTCCTCTGCACTGACATCGGCCTGAAAACCGCGTGTATAACCGAAATCGCTGGTATAATAACCGCTACGCGTACTATTTGCATTGCCACCATGGTTGTGGTGTTCATTTAAACCATATAAATCGTATTGCTTGCGTTTTTCTGCATCGGTTAAAACACCAGCAGCATTTCCCACGGCTTTGAAAGCTTCTGCAGCGCCAGGAGCTCGATTCTTATCTGGATGTAATTGTAAGGCTAACTTTTTGTAAGCTTTTTTTATTTCCGAATCCGTGGCGGTTTTAGTAACTCCCAAAATCTCGTAATAATCTTTGCACTTCTTCACTTTACGCACTGCGTCAAGCTGTTCGGTTGTATAGTCCGGCTCAACTTTGCGCGTACCGGAATTATGACGTCGTCTAGTCTCGGTATCATTATTGCCACTTCGTTGATCCTTATTTGAATTAGAATTAACATGACCACCATCAGATGACGGTGGAACACTTTTCACTTTCGCCAATAATTCTTTAAAAATGTAAACCAATTAAATTTTAAGTAAATCAATTGGTTTTTTCCCGTTTACCTTTTGCTTTATTTGTTGGACAAAGTCTTTCAGCTTTCACTAAAAACTTCTCCGCTTTTGCTAAATTGCCTTCAGAAAATGCTCGTTCTGCAATTTCAATACAGTGTAAAGCTTCACCTTTGTTCATTTCCGCCATCGTACTCATGCTTGTTAAATTAATTCAATTTAGAAATATTGCTAGCCCTTTTGGAGGGTGGGGGCATTAGATATACTGAATAGAGTGTGAGTACGATATAGTGGCTATAAAAAATTGCAGGTGCAACACTTATCTAGAAAAATTTTTATTGGGTCAGTGGTGAGAAATTTGTTTTTCCTTTTTAATAGATGGTCACTGTAAGTAACTGAAAAAGTTGCACTTTTTAACACTATATATAAAATGTACAATAAATACCTTAAAATTTGTAATAAAAGAAATTCTTTGAATAAATTTCGCTTTTCTTCTATTTTGTAAATATGAATGCTTTTTTCACAGAGAGACCAGAGACCACATCATTTTTCTCACAGAGTAGTGGTGTTAACTATAAAAACGGGGGAAAAAGCTATTAAGAAAAGTAACGCTTAAAGAATCTATACAATATTGTGCGGATGCAAACAAATTTTTTTTTACTGATTAAAAATATAATGCATTAAGCTGACTAAACTCTATTAAAAATGTAAAAACTTACGCAATTTTTGTCACAAATTTGCTTAAAAAGATTACTCGAGTAAAAGAATCAAGAAGTTTAGTTAATGTTGCGCTTTTAAAAAATGCAAAGTTGATACTATTGTCGGAAACAGAGAAGACATGAAAGAAAAGACGGAATATAATTTAATAAATATTAATTTAAAATGTAAAAAGCAGTGATGATTTAAAGGCGTAAAAAACGAAAATATTAAAATCGAGAACCATAAGTGAAACTTGGGTATAATTATATTTCATTTCTCGTAATTTGCGCTAATGTTTTTCCAAAAACCAAAAGAGATGTCAACTTTATATAAAAAGAAGGATTTGCAAAAAAAAAGTGCAAAACACACTACGAATAAAAAAAACGTAATGGCTTTTAATAATTATTATAAGTAATCCTATTTCAATTGTAATTCTCTTTAGTTTGACAAAAACACTTTTAATATTAAAAACATTTTCTAATACTGAATAGCCGATAATCAGCTTCAATTAAATTGTTTTAGACTTCAATTACAATACAATTTTAACAAGCAAAGTTGATATCATTGTTTTAGATTTCATTCGTTGCGGCGGTCGTGCAAGATTTGCAAGTTTTTTTATTAAAAGAATGCTTTAAATTCTCAAAATATTAAATAGTTTGCAAAGCAGATAAAAGCGCATAAATTTTTATTATTTCCAAGTGTCTTCTGCTGAAACGTTAAAAGAAATTTTGTTAAAATTTGGCTGAAAGTGTTGTGTGTGTGCCTTTGGAAAAAGTAATAAAAACAACAACAACATCATCAACAACAAAGCACAGTGTGTGGTTAAGTGTGTGTTGGGGTGAAAAAATGGCGACAGCTATATAAAAACATTAATAATGATGAAAAAAGAAAATAAAATCAAAATAAGTTCGTTTCGTTTTTTTGTCTCACCTATTAAAGTGTAAAATAATATTATTTTGACATAAAAAATTAAAGAAAAAAAAAAAAACAACAAGGTAAATATCGCAAATGAAGAATTAATGAAAAGAAAGAAATAGAATCATTTTTCAAATGAGGTGAATGAGGTGAAAGATTCCCCGGTTAAAGGAACAGTTTTTGTTCGTATTATGTATATTCTCCATGTTGTTTAAGTTAAAGTTAAATATAAATTGTTTGGAACCACACCCGACACAAAACGGATTTACATAAGTTTATTGCCCACAGATATAATGAAGTTCATGCAGTTTTGGAGATCAGTTTGGAGTTTGTTAATATTCCATCCTATTACATTTACAATCTAAGATAATCTACAGAACAGGATACAATTGCTGCAAACATGCCACTTGTTCTAACGACCAATCGTCATTTTACTTGTCACATATCGAAATCCTTACAAAGTAAGGATGCCATGTGAAACGTAACCGTTGCATTTACTAAACTGCAAATAAATAACTAAATTTATTTATTTATATAATATATGTATGTGAATATGTGCGTAAATTCGTCTATTGTTTTATAAGTGTTTAAAATGTCGATTGAATTATATCATGACATGTATAATGGGAATTATTTTGGAGAAAATTTTATGCACACATTTCGCTATACATTCCCAGTGTACATACGATGTCTATTTAATTGTACTTAAACATGTTTACAAATTTTTGGTGTAGGTTTTCTTGATACGAAAATCGGATGAATCTTTCTTTTAAATTTTTGGTGTAGATTTTCTTGAAACGAAAACTGGATGGGGTTTTCCTGAAACGAAAATTGTATGAATTTCTCTTTAAATTTTTGGTGTAGGTTTTCTTGGAACGAAAATCGGATGAATTTTTGTTAGAAATTTATGGTGTAGGTTTTCTTGAAACGGAAATCGGATATATTTTTCGTTTGAATTTTTGGTATAGGTTTTCTTGAAACGAAAATCTGAATAATTTTTCTTAGAAATTTTTGGTGTAAGTTTTCTTGAATGATTAATTACTTCCAGTCACAACCCAACTGTAACATTCCTTGATTTAGGAAAGTCTTCGTTTATCTACTAATCCTTTATGTGCTTTGATGTCCAGTAACTTCTCGACTCTTACAAACACCTGTTCTCACATATCGTGATAATGGTTTAATTTATTAAGCTATTGCATCATGCAAACGATATTCTTGTGTCTCTATACATTACACGTAACTAGAAGAAATACGAAAGTTGTCAGCGTTTCTAAAGAAGTTTTAAACAAGCCGATCAGCAATTTAATACGAAGCAATTAGACGTTTCTGAAGAATATTGATAGCCTTGAGTTTAATCTGAAAAACAACATAATGCAGTATGGGTGCGATAGTAAGGTAAATATTTTTTATTTCTTTCGTTCCAATCTTATTGCGCAATCTTTCTTTTCCAGTTTGATGATTTATTTTGAAATAGTATTTAGTTTTTTAGCTAGGAATATATTAACACCTCCTTTCGCCATTATTGGTACACCGAAGTTATCTATTTCAATCTCTTTCATATTTTCGTTGATTTCCACTTTAAAGCGTTGCAATATTTGGGCGATAGCGACTTTAACATTTATGAGACCCATGCGTTGAGCTATATAGAAAAATTAATATATGTATATATATTACGTAAATTAGTCATGTTAATATCCTTTCATATTTTTTGCATTACCTATGCAATGACGAGGACCTTCACCGAAAGGCATATAAGCAATGCTATCAAAAGTTGGATTTTGTTCAGAAAACCGCTCAGGATTATAACGTAAAGGTTCAGGAAAATATTTTGCATCACGATGAATACCAAATAATGATATAATGACTGGGGTACCTTTTTTGATTACCAACTCGGAATTCGGCAATTGATAGTCGTTAGTGCATTCACGATTTAATATCGGCAGGGCAGGATATTTACGTATAGTTTCTGTGTGAAAAAAAAAAACAAAAATATCAAATATAACACTCTTTTTAACTAATTTCTTACCCTTAATGCATAAATCTAAATACTTCATATCCTTTAAGGCATCGTAGGTTAATGAACTGTGTTGCTCAACAGCTTTTTCAACATCTTGTTGTGCCTTTTGTAGCAGCTTCGGATAACGAGCCAGTTCGTATAGCGTAAAAGCACTGGTAGAAGCTGTGGTTTCGAATCCAGCTATATAGAATAAATATAGTTGAGCTGCTATCACGTCTACCGTCATCCATTCTAGAGCTTCTGCAATTTTTATGGCAATACATTGAGTTCATTCGCTTTTGTTTTATTTCCTTATTTATGTTGTATGTTAAATTTGTTTACCTTTCGTCTTTTGCGCCGACCATAACTGAGCATTAACATGACCATCATCATCGTCAGTATTGATTTTTCCCGTGTTACGTAGCTGTAACAATATCTGTAGCATATCTTTACGCTCAACATTGTTTTGTTCTCTGTAACATACAGTCTCCTTCACGATTTTATTCATAAAGTCAGAAGCCTTTTCAGACCAACCTAAACTTTGAAAGAACTTCTCTAAGCTTTGAAGGTAGCAGAAAAAGAAAATGAAAGAAGAGAAATGAAAATGAAATTATTTCCAGCAAAAGTTTGTTTGGAAAGCATTATTAAAATAAATTAAATCATGGCTTGGCTGTACGAGCTAGAAGTTTAAAGGTCTTCGATCTTCTAAAAAGCTTAAAAGGCAAGCATCAAGTTCATATTAACTGCCATTTCCTGACCTAATAACCTGGCAGTTTGGAACTTGCCCTCATTTGACTTTGGCATAAATCGGCATTTTTTAAAGATACCATGAGTCCATGTTGGTAAGATCAAGAAAAGTTTTCGTATAAGAGTTTTGTGTAGGTAAATTGCGGATTTTATTCTACTATGCAATAGTTTTTTCAACATAGAAATACTAAAATCAAGATAATGAAGCGCAAATTCGGTTCCATTCGATTGCATTGATATCATATGCACTCACTTTGCATTCAATCTTCAAAGGTTTCTATCTATGAATCTGTGAATAGCGGAGATTTCTAAGATATACGCGTAAGAGATTACGCTTTTCTGCAGGACAGTTCTGCAAACTTACGAGGCAGTTCACGCCAAAGGTTTTAGCATCTGTCACAAGTAAAAGCTTTTCGGGAAGCATCAACGTTGTATGGATTGTATGGATGTTGTGATAACCATGGCATAGTTGATTGAGTCCAATGTGCTACTTTTCTTCCCCACATAGAAACGGTACAAGTTGCAAGCCTTTTCTCAATAAGAAAGCGTTTCCCCTTAATTCACAAGTAGGTTTTGAAAACCAGTTCTCTCATAAAGAGAGAAGTTGTGCGGAGTCAAGGTCGTCCCTCGTTTTGACCTCACATGGCTTTTGTCTCGAAGAGGAAAGCGTTAGGTTAAGTTAGCGATAAGTTAAATCATTGCATTAAGTTGACATGACAAAGGATGAGTTCGGGGAAACAGCTCTTTTCTGATAGTCTTAAGGTAAGATTGTCGAGAAACAACCTCAGGTGACTTCCAGCGTCGTCCGAATAGAGGACAATTTCCGTTTTCTTCTTTCGGGCAGCTTTCCCTTTTTATTTAATAAAACCGACATGTAATCTGAACTTCAGAAATCTATGCAAATGGGGAACACGACTAAAGGAACAACTAATCTAATGCAGAAATAAAGAAAGAAGTTGAACGAACGTCCCAAGAATATATAAATTTTCTTGTAGAGGAGCCCGACGACCGGGGAGTATACCCCACCGAGATATAACGGCACGCAGGCGCTCTGACAGTTTCCTTAATGTATGAGAAGAAGACTTTCTTTGAAACACAGTTGCGTTTGCAATGAGGCGTTGCCTATGTAATCGATTTGAGTCCTCCTGTCTTCTTGTAAACTTTAAAGGTCTTTGCAATTAGCGAGTCATCGTCATTGTAAGTAAGGAATGACATACAAAAAGCCTCAAGAATGTAGGGAATGGGGCAGCTCCTTTTTATCTTTGACAATGTGAACGTACCTATAAGAAAATTTTCTTCTCTTTCTCTTTATGGGTATCATACTTCAAGTTACTTTAAAACGACAAAACAGATGCTTTTAAGAAATTGACTTTAGTTGAATTTTTTTTGTTTTTTTTTTTTGCACAAAGTAAGTGCTGGGAATGTTTTAAAATGTATGCTCCGGAGCGCATGTGAAATTATGTTTGTTGAAAGAAGAAGGAAAAACTTCATCTCATTCAAATTTAATTCTTTTATGGAAAATAGGAGAGGGCCAAGTAGGCCTCCTCTTGTTTGTTATAAATGGCTTCTTCTCTCTTTTTTGTTGCAAGAAGAAAGAACAAGTTTGTCTCATACATATTTAACTCTTTTTATGGAACATAGGAGAGGGCCAAGTAGACCTCCTTTTGTCTGATATAAATAGCTCCTTGTCACTTCTTCTCTATACGGATATTCATTCAGATTTGGTCCAATATCAGTAGTCAATAGCGAGTGTTCGTAAGTTAAGTGAGTTCGACTAGAAGGATAGAAAGGAAGTATAAGCAAACCGTTTCCAGTTATATATGAGACGCACAATCAATGCTGTAGGATAATGTGGACAAACGAAAAATTACCCTTAAGTTCACATCTTCAGCAAGCGGTCATAAAAATGGACACTTAATGTTGTGTCTGCTGATATTCGTTCCCATTTGCGCACAAAATTTTTTCATAAAAAAATTTAAAATTACTTGATGTTGCTTACCTTGGAAACATAAATTGACAAGTACCTCGCAGCATCGCAATGTACGAACTACCGTTGATATGCTTGCTTAATGCGACAAACTCATTTGTCGGATTCTCAAAACTATTTACTTCTAAACCAAAGATAACCGATGCAATTATATCGATCGCATATCTATAATACAAAAAAAAGTTAGAATATTATAGTGAAACACGGACCAAAATTAAATGCCCATGTCGCTTAATAGAGTTATTCATGTAAAGACTTTTCGCAATGAGATGTCGGAAAATGACCGGAAAAGTATTCCGGTCCGAAATGTTTTCAATAGCGTCCCAAATAGTTAAAACAGTAGTTTGAACACAAGGATGCAAGAAGGGCAGACGGACACACAAGCTTGGTTCGATTCAGAAAGTGATCCTGAGTTGGTCTTCCTGGGTGTTATAGCGCATCCGCTTGCGGTGTAGGGCGTAATGAATAATGAGTAAATTATTCGAAAATTTTGATCAAAATCACTTTGCCTTACTCTTACTTACGTTGCAAATAAGTGCTTAAGCTCTACTCTACGACTAGAGCCATCCTCAGGTAGTTCGGAATCCAAATAATTAACTAATTTTTGCGAAACATCTTGAATAGTACTAAACATACTTTTTAATTTTCCCGACGAGTACGATGGTGTTAATTTCGCGCGAAGTGTTTTCCATTTTGTGCCTTTCAAAAAAAATAAACCTCCAGACATGGGATCATTTTCTTCATCCACATAAACGCCACGATCATGAAAACTAATAAAATCTTTGGTTAAGATATCGCGAGCTAATTGAGCGTCGCGTATAAGCACAGCCGGACGATTGATTATATAAATACCGAGTATCTTTTCAGATGATTGCTTATACGCATCGTAGATTGCCATGCCAAAGGATTTTTGACGGGTGCGTAAAACCGAATCTAAAACACCGAGAGGTCCTTTTGCTTTCACATATGGGAAACCTAAGCGTTCCCAATGACGGTAATGCCAACGAGCATAGTACAATAAAAATGTACAAAACAAAATAATTAAATAAATAAACATATTGTTTAATTTGTCTCTAGTGACCGCCGCCGTTATGTACTAAAAAGCGAAAAGCGAATGTTTCTCATATTTATAATAATTAATCATCATGACTATCGTTGAGCTGACAAAGAAACTTACAGCAAATACTCTATTAGGCAGTCTTATCGCACATTTTCATGATCACTTGCTGATGATGGATGGCATATTAGATTTACGCTGCAGTTTGTAACATCAGATGTTGAGTCGATCTCATAAGATAACACCAGACATTCTTGATTGGAGTTTAATTTCCGAGTCTAAACTAAAACTGTTTCTTTGTCTGTCTGTCTGTCCGTCTCTCTGTCTTCTAGATGTAAAGCCAATGCTCGCAAAAGCTCGCCAATAAAACATTTTGATGGAAATGGTTTTGATGGTCTTGATGGACGCATCTTTCTACATAGAAAAATGGTCGTAAATTTTCGGTACGTCTTACGTTTCGGGGGTAACGTTAAAATATTTTTTCAATAAATCGTCCCTAAATTTGAGGTTAGAAAGCAGCGAACAGTTCAGATGAAAGCAATACGAACGGTGACGTTAACGAGACGAGCGATAGTGCCGTGAGTGACGGGGCCGTTAACAATAAATAAAAATTTCGATCCGAAAGTAACATTAAAATAGGTCTTCCCAAACATCACCTTATAAATTTAAAGCGCGTCTTATAGTTCGAAAAATACAGTACCTAGGCGTATGGGTTGGCGAGTATGTCAAGTTACTGTTCGCGGGCTCAAGTCTCAGGTACGGGAAAATCTGCTTCAAAATCATCCTGATGGATTACCTATACGTACGAGTAACCGATTGTGGAAGCATCGCGACTATCAAGTCAGTGTTCGCCGGCTCAAGTCTTAAGTGCAGGAGAATTCGGTTTAAAAGCGAACATGTAAAAAGTACGCAAGAGTAGCCGAGTATGTAAGAACAGCCACTACAAAATTATTGTTCACGGTTTCAAATCGCATTTGCGACAGACTTGACTTTAGTCATAGCCACAGTAAGCGATCATTTGATATAGCCATAACATTTACCAATTGGGCAAACCCATCCACATCTCTCATCAACCATCAACGTATTGAAGGAGTATGGAATACTTCTTCCTTCCCTGCGTGGAAAAAGAAAGGAAAATGTAATGATTTCATGCGTTGGGTGTTAAAGATTCGATCTCAGGTTGGTTTGCCTTCTCTTGTTCTCTTTGATAAATTTTTGTATTTCGTTCACGCAAATATTCTCAATAAAAATTATTATCATTTTTATTGTCTCTACGTCGCTTAAAAAGTGAACGCAGATTTCATACTTTAATGCCTTTGCGACAGCCCCTAATGTATGTAATTAAATGATGTTCAAATAATGTTAGGTTATGTTATGGCGATATAAATTACTAAGATTGCTCCTGTTCGAATGCGCTAAGCACTCTTGAGGCCTTTACTTCTTTGCAGCAAAAGAATAGGGAGTGAAGTGCATCTGATCACTAAGAAAAAACAAATATTCCAAGTTTCGAAACAGCTCATCTTATAAAGACTAAGAAAGGCAAAGGATATCGACTCAAGGGTCATAAGCTCAAAACTCAAGTGCGGTAGAATTTTCAATACAGACCCCGATAGCCTTTAGATGCTAGCACTTCAAGGCTTTAGTCTTAGAATTTATTTCAATTTATTTTTGTCAAATTTATTATAATAATAATTATAAAGATTCTAAAGAAACGAAAGCTTCACGATGACCTTCAACGGACTGCAAAAAGTGTAGTGATAAGCAAGTAAATGCATTTCGTGTTCAATCAAATATGAGTTGTAGTAGTCAGTTTGACATATCTCATGGATATTAAAATCAATTTAAGGAAAATTGCAGATCCATTTGGAAAATATCACGCACAGCCTAATGTAGCTCGCATTGATTGCATTTATTTTTGCAGTTATTTTCCATTTAATTGCAATCAATCCTCTAACATTACCCTTACTATCAAGAAAAAATGTTGACATCTGTTTACTACTTATAACACGAAACGATGATTAAAATTTATCATAGTGGGCTTGGCATTTACATTACAGTTAGTGAAGGGATTAACGCTGAGCCCCAAGTATTTTCACTCAGAAATCGAATTTTTCGATAAATTCAACGGATATTCGTATCAAGTTTAATGGTCGAGAACCCTTGTTTTAGTTTGTAAAAGGAACAAACAAACGAACAAACTGCATTTTATAGATTAATGTTTGATTGTCGATGCATGGCTATCATCTAAGCATAGATAAGCCAAGTTTCCGGTTTCTATGATAATTCCATTCTAACAACAAATAATAAACGGGTTACAGGACAGACGGCAAGACAATTTAACTAGTTCATCTTGAAATCGAGCAATGATCAAAAATATTATATATATGGAATACAAATTTTATAAGGAGCCGCGATGAGCATTTCAAACTATTACAAAGCGATTAATCGATTCTCTACACAAGATCACATATAGTGCAGTGGAAATCTTATATACGCAGGTGTCCTCCGCTTAATATATGGGCATTGTGTATACGAAAATTTTTTAATTTTTTTTTCTCAAACAATATAATTTAGATTTAGATTTGAAGATTTGAAGCTTTAAGATCTAGATAAGATTTCAATTATATTGTAAATTTTGTGCAATATTAAGCGAGGAGGGATATCTTTACACAATACTTTCACATTAAATTACCGTAATACCGTAGTACTCCTCTACGCAGTATTCATTCATCATTGTCATCCTTCGAGAATTTCTTCATATTAAGATGCATACGACCTAATGGAGCTTTTGGCGAATTATGCACCCTTCCTACTTGTAGGGTGGTAGGTAACGAATTGTCAGATTTCCTCCGCCAGTATTGCACAAGCATTGAAAAATTCGCAAGGCTTGTCCTTGTGCTCGCGACATATCATCAATTGGGCATCAATTGTGCATGGTATAATGCGGTGTAGCTTGCCTTACATTTGGGCTGCCTATGTGGTCGGGATTGCAATCAAATTTTTTTTTCATGTCTTTTCAATAGCCAAACGGGAATATCTACTCAGTTATACCATGCATCACACCAATAGTTACCCGGTTCCCTGAAGACAGCATAGACAAGTGATATATCTTGGATTCTCACAGTAGCTGATTATTTAGCAAAGAAATTTGCAAACAGACGATTTCCGGTACTTTCGATAAATAGTTTCCTTAGGTGGCATAAATGATTTGTATATATTAATTAAACCTAAATTTTTTTTTGTACATATGGAAGCACCCCAAGTTCAACCCCCAGTTCAACATAAGAAAATAATTCTTTCTTTCTAACGGCAATAGGTTCGATTCTCCAGTCATTAAGGGTTCTGTATGAAGACAGATTAAGAACCTCACAGTTTCAATGATCGATTTTCAAGTTTTATATCATACAATTTTCACGGTAACTTGTAAGGAAGGATGGACAGATAATATATATTTTTTTCATTTATTGTCTATATATTTTGTAAATTAATTTATAAAGTATGGATATGGGCTGCCGGATAACTTAGATCATATGCTCGCCTGTAATGAAAACTTGAGATATGAATCCGCGATCATTGTCTCGTTCGGAACTCGGAATGTCCTTTAGCAGATATTTTTTTTAGGCTTTCAAGCAACCTACATTTACCATTCATACGTATATATATGTATAGACAGGCAGCCTTATGCTTTAATTGCGTTTTAAATTGTAATCATTTAAATTAAATCAATTTTTCGCATCGGACATTGTATGACAGCAACTTCAACAAGAGGAAAGCAAAAAAAAAAAAAAAAAAAAAAAAAAAAAAAAAAAAAA